GATGTGGACACCTGGCATGCTTTCCACTCTTGAGCTCCAACTCCTATTTCAAAACCAGGCAAGCTCCACTCCTTGAGATATCCAACAGCCCTTGTGACAGCCCTTTCTGATGGATAAAACTTACTGGCTTGAAACTTGCTCACACTGGATTTAAAAACCCAGCAACTGAACCTATTGAGGTCTTCTCACTCCAAACACTTCTCAAGTGTTTCCTGCAAGAACATCCCAGTGTGACATTCCCATCAACGAGAATGCAGATTCTGTGGTGTCCTCTGTCCATGCAAGTCACCTCCTCCTGCCACTTCTGCAGGTGAGATGCTTGGTAAAGCAACAAGGTTCCTCTCCAACACCAGCAACAGGCTCTTCCTCCCCTGCCAGCACTTCTTTGGGTCTGAAGGGACCTAAACTAAGGCAGCTCAATGCTGTTCGACCCAAAAAGTTTTGGGTTTCCCCAAGATCAGTGCTTGAGGGCGTCATTTTCTGCAGCTGAGAAGCAATCTATGCTATTTAGATGGCCAAAGGACACTCAAGAGAAGATGGAAAGGTGTGCCTAAAAGGCTCTAGGTAAGGATGCAATCAGCAGAGGCACAACCCAGTTGCTCCTCTCCCCAGGGCGCCTTGCTGGCAAACCCCCAGGCTTCGAGGTCCCTGGGAGGCTGCTCCCTGCAGATTACATTTCAGCTCTCTTGCTGAGTGTTTCTTTTGGGTAAACAAAGCACAAGACTTTTTCAGACACAAGTGGGTGACATGAAGCCAAGGAAAGCGCTCAGAGAGAGATGAAAGAGTTTTCTCTGAACTGTGGCTCCAGGAGATGATGCCTGAGCAAGCAGAAACAATGATGGATGCAGGAGCCCAGTGCCTTTTCCAGGGCTCTGCTCCTTGGCAGACAAAGCTCCATGGGCACGTGGTCTCTCACCCCAAACCCTCTGGTTTATTTGGAGCAGAAGCTTGTGCACACAAATTAAATTAAATTAAAACCCACCATGGATCTCACACCCACCCCCGGCTGGAGCAATAAACAGAGCCCTTGCACTCTGTGCAGCACCAAGCCAACCTCTCACTGCCATCATGGCTGACAAGTGGATGCAGGAAGTTCATCCAAGAGCGTCCCTGTACCCCATTATTGAAGGACTGAGCACACAAGGCACCACCGTGTAAGGTATGGCTGAGCTCAATGCAGCCTCAGCAGAACCAGGCACCCGTGCCAAGAGTCAGGGGTTGGGCTGTACTCAAGAAGTTTAGCCAAAGACAACATCACCCTGAACACACTGTTGTGCATTTGCAGTCCCCACAATAAGGATCACCTTTGTACTTTTTTTTTTTTTAATTTTTAGCTTTGAAGTTTTGTTCCCAAGGCAAATCTCTCTACTGTCAGCTCAGCACAGAGGCTGCAGTGTTACAGGGAGCAGGGCAAGGCACCCACCCAAACTCCCTCGGCACAGCCAGCGCGGGCACCTTTAGTGCCATCTCCTCGGCGCCGACGGGACACGCACAGCTCCAGCCCGCTCTGGCCACCTCTCCCAGCTCCGCTGCTCCCGGTGCATGCCCGTTCCCAGCCCTGCCTGCGGCAGCGCCGCCAGCTCACCTTGGGTCCCCCGAATGCTCCCGGTGCCCGCTCCATGCTCCCGCCGCTCCCGCTCCGCCGGCCCCGCCCCGCAGAGCCCGGGGCAGGCACGGGGCGATGGCATCGGACCCTTAAAGATCAGACTCTTTCCACACCCCTGCCCTGGTTTAGGGACGCCTTCCGCTAGACCCGGGTTGCTCCAAGCCCCGTCCACCCTGGCCTCGGACGCTTCCAGGGGTGGGGCGCGGCCACATCTTTGGGCAGCCTGTGCCGGTGCCTCGCCGAGCTGGCAGGGAAGAATTCACAGAATCGTAGAACCACGGGATCAGCCAGCTTGGGAAAGATCTCCGAGATCATCGAGTCCAACCCTTGATCCAACACTGCCGTGCCACATCCAGTTGCGTCTTAGAAACCTCCAGGGATGGTGAATCCACCCCCTCCCTGGGCAGCCCATTCCAATGTCTGATTACTCTCTCTGTAAAAAATTTTCTTGCTAATATCCAACCTAAACGTCCCCTGGCAGAGCTTAAGACCGTAATTTCTCTCTAGTGTTTAATCTAAACCCACCCTTCCTGAAGTCCCACTCATGATTCCTTCAGGAGCTGAGAGCCCGAGTGGAGCTGCTCCTCCAACAATAACACTGACAGAAATTAGAACAGGATAGAACAACAGCACAGTGTGTAGAATCCGAATGCAATCTCCAGCTTTGATTACAGTCTTAAGCCAATTCAACAATATTTGTTTTAACCTTTCCTGCTCTCAGACCTGCTGCTCTGTGACTCAGTTGTTTTGTCCCGTGGCTCTCAGTCCACTCTACACCTGCTTTCAGTTCCTGCAAACTCATGTTCAGCTTTTCATTTCTTATTTTTAGTGACCTGGCCATGTTTTACACTGCTCCTCTGCCTCCTGCCTTCCTCTCTCATAGGTGATGCACATGGCAGCCCAGTCACTGAGGACAGTGAGCCAGAAAACCACTGAATTACAGAATGGTTGGGAAGGAACCTCTGGAGATCTGCTAAAGCAGGTTCACCTGGAGCAGGTTACATAGGGTTGTGTCCAGGTTGGTTTCGAATATCTCCAGAGAAGTCCTGCCTGCTCCTCCCTGCTGAGCAGGGCTTCTCTGATACTGGAGAGAGCAGAGTTTTCAGTCATTCCACTCCTGAAGTCCCCATCTAGCTAAAGGCAAGTCCATCAGGTGGAACCACTTCCTAGACTGAGCCTTGAGGAACATCCCTTATGCAGCCCTGGGTGAGATGAGACCGAAGCTCCCTGGAAGGTGCTGAGCAGGCAGGTGATATTTCCAAAATCTCTGCAGAGACAAGGAGCACAGTTTTGTTGTGTATGACTGGAGTTCACCTGCCCAGGTGAGGCCATCCCCAGACCACAGGCCAGGTCTGCAGAGAGTCCTAGAGATGAAAATCACTGTATCAATGAAAAATACTATTATTACTTGCTCTGGTGCGTAAGCAGAGAAAGCACTTGGGGTTGTAAGCGTGAACACTACCACAAATGGCTGCAAAATAAAGTTCCCTCTTCTCCTTCCCCAGCTGTGTTTACTCCAGAGGGACATTGTTTGTGGAAGCTGGCAGCAGGGCTTGGCTGGGGAGGAAGGTTCATCAGCATGTTCTCTTTTATTAAGTACCACCTTTCAGGGATGCCCTGACTGCATCCATACGGTACAGACAAGGCCCATTAACCATAGCTAAGAGGCAAAAATATTCTTTAGAAAATAGTGACTGGCAGGGGAAAGTAAGTGTTAGCTGCCAAGCACCGCTCAGGGCTTCCGGGAGCCCGTGGGATGGAGCAGCAGGAATAAGCAGTACGTATTCTTTGCACTAAAATTTGTGATTTCCAGAAGGGGAAAACATTCCAAGCTACTTCGAAAGCACTGTATTTGGTTAAAAGCCTCCTGGGTGTGCACAGAGGGTCTGGGCAGAAAACACTGGTCCAGTGTGCAAACTAGCAACTGTTTGTGAAACTGCTTCTGGACGAGGTGAGCTCTGGCTCACATGGACCATTTCAGTTCCACATCACAGGCTTTCTTTAGCAGCCACCTGAAAAATATCTATTTTGCCTGGGTAATGATTCACAGCTTCGGATATCTGAGGTCTGACTTCTGGTTCAAAGCATCCACAATAGGAGTGGCCCCAGTGTGAACAGACAGTGCTTTCTAATGGTCTTTTGTGGGCACAGCCCTGCTCAATGTGTCATGTACACTGGGAGGACAAAGGTCAATTAGAGCATTTATTTGAGATTAGAGGAAATTACAGGGTAAAAAAAATAGCATGTGGGTAATTATCTACTGGGAGGAGCGTTGATAGCAAAGGTCAGAAAGAGGCAAATGGGCCTGAACTGGCCCCATCGATTGGGAATGGTGCAGTAAGGGGTTTTTTGATGGTTTTTTTCCTGCTTAGCAAATACACGTGTGCTGCAGACTCAGCTCTTTCCAGGAGTGTCAGCACAGTGCATTCATTGCACAAATGCATTCATTGCACACAAGTGTGTTGCAAAGCCTTAGAAATACAGACTGGGCTGATTTTAATTGACCTGACCTTGATCCAGGGACCCCCCAGCTGCTGTGGCCCCTACACTCTGTGTGCTGTGCAAACACTGGCAAGGGAAACCCTGGGCTGAAGGGAAAAAACAGCAACTTAAGGATTCATCAGGCTGAGCTGGGAGCTGGCTCACAGCGGAGCTCACGTGTGACAAGTGGCCTTTCTCTGTGCTGTGCCCTTGGCACAGGCACAAGTCTGGAGTGAAGGGGTCCAGCTGTCCCACAGAAGGGCTGGTTTTCACGTGTTAAAGTGCTTATCTCACAGCAGTCCAGCCCAACACTTCTTCAGTGACATCCGACAACCAGCGGAGGCCAAAGCCCCGTACCTATAAAATACTCCTCTGTTCCTCCAGCTATTCCCAAGGGCTCCATCATTTCCCATTACAAATTCAGGTTGGATCAGCATCCCTTCCCCCCTGCAGTGAGCCAAACTTGGCTTCTGTTCAAAACTCCTGCAGCATTTCGAGGATGAAGGAGGTCTTTCTCTGTAATGCTTTTTTTGAAGGGAAAAGGTGCCGCAAGCGACCTTGTGTGCCTAAAGGAGAAGGTTGGAAGGTGAGGAGCCCAGCTCTGTCCCAGCAGCACCCAGGGCCTGTCCCTGCCCATGGTCACAGGACTGACATGCAGGAAACAGGTTCTCAGCGTCCTCGACAGCCCAACAGGAATGAGAGATCAGACATTTCAACGTTAGGTGCAAAATGGAACACTCTATTAACTTTTATAGGGCAGGAGCAGAACTTGCTGGAAGAAGGGGAGTAACTGGGGAGGAGCAAGGGTGGAGTATGCAAACCAGGACCATCTAGGGAGAACAAGGGGAGGAGCATACCTATATAAGGAAGAAATGGCCATATAAGGTTGGTACTGCAATGCAGCACTAACTGGTCAATAGAAACGCAGGGTTCGAAGACTTAGGGAAAAGAAGGGAAAATGGGGGTACAATGAAAGGGAATAACACAATAACATAGTATAATAACATAACAAAAATCCTAAAACACATTTTCTCAAAAACTGGATCCCAATATATCCCCCCTTTTCTGTTTTACAGAAAAGCAAGTTTAAAGAAAACTTTCTTGAATTTATCATGGAACAAGAATTGATCCTTAAGATACAAAAAAGTATATAAAAATATATATAAGTAACTGTACTGTTTTTTGTTAACACAGAACATTAGTTATGGTTTTCTTAATGAGTCTTTGGGTCCCTCAGTGTGACAAAAGCAATCAATAAGGAAAGGAAATCAAGTTATAATAAGGGTAAGTAAATAAAAGGGCAAATAAGCACAAGGGAGTAACATAGTTTGTCTGAGATTAGCTCTTTGAGGGATTATGTTTTGGTTACAGACAACAGAGATTTAAAGAAGCAGAATTTTTCATTTAATTTACTTAATCATTATTTCTTCCAATTTCAGTACTCTCTTTTTAAACTTTCTTTTCATAGTAAACCACTCTTAAAGCTTTCTATTTAACAACATTCTATATTCCTTATTCTTAGTAAACCACTCTGGGAGCTTTCTATTATGTACTTTTACTTTATCACCTTTATATTTCACTTACAATTTGCACAGATGTTTCCCCAAATTTTCTGCTTCAGATTTTGGTGTGTAACGCTTTCTTTTTCGTTTTTATTTATCTATCCTCATTTTAACGAAAACTTTTTTTCACACTGATATTTTTAAACGTCAAGACAATCTATTTCGTAAAATAAAGTCAATAGGATATTGTCAGGGTTCAGATTGTCAGGGTTCTTCCCCAGCTGCTCGTCTCTTATATCAGATGTGAAGATCAGCTCACCTTGCAGTGTGATATCCACTGTTCAGCTGGGGGGGCTGCTGGAGTGCTGCTCTCTGAGCCACAGCACTTGAGTCCAGGTGGGCAGGCGGGGTCCTTCAATACGAAGGACCTACAATCCTGCGCCACATCTGGACGCCATTTAACGCAGCCCGATTGGAGAACGGACCTCGAGTACTTTCCTCGAGATCCTTAGTCAGGGGTATTTGTCTTTTAGGGAATTTACAAAATAGATTGTTTTGTTTTTTAAATTTGAAGAACAGGTTTGAGATGGAAAAAAAAAAGGAATTTGATGAAGCGGTTTAACAAATTATCCAAAAAAGAAAAATGGGTCGTTTATATGTAGATAACTGAAAGGGGAAGGAATCATGAGACAACATTACATAACAGGGAACATTTTAACAATTGATAACAGTCAGCTGACATAACTGCCTAACTATAAATTGGTATGGTAAAATAAGGAAACTTCTTAATTCTTCCACTGAAAGCTTTTTAGAATTGGTAATGCAACATTAGGCCTATTCTTTAAATTTCAAGGATATCCTATGTTTTAGCCTTTCACAGTTTTAAACTGTGTACTTTTAAACTGTTAACTTCATCAATGAAAAACTTTTGATAACAACAATTCAACAACTTGTGATAGCAGCATTTTCTTGCACTAGGATTACCTCAACAATTTATGGAATTTTCCTCAAATCAAGTGAAAACCATATCCCACTCCATTCACTCCTAGCGCAACAAGGACTTGAGGTCTTCGTTGGAGGTCATTCATGGCTGGACTTCGCGAACGAAGATTTGGGAAGGGTCTATCCATGTTTGTTACAGGCACGCTGGTGGCTTATGAGGCCAATACGAGACAGACATATCCGATTGCAAAAGGCACAGCAGAAAGACTCCTTAGATGGTATCTTCTGCAAGGCACGGTTCTTTCTGCGTTGCCTTTTCTCCCCAAGGGTGATCCTGCGTGCGTTCTCAAAGGCATCAGCAGTGGTATAGATGGTGTGTCTCCAGACGTCCCGGTTGGAGGCCAGAGTAGACCAGTTATGTTGATCAATATGGCCAAGGCTGTTATGTTGTTTCAGGGAGTCCTTGTATCTTCTCTTTGGGGCTCCTCTCATGTGGCAGCCGGTGGCAGGTTCACCATAAAGCAAGATCTTAGGGATCCTTAGGTAGTTCTTCATCCTGGAGACGTGCCCTGCCCAGCACAGCTGTGTTCTCAGCAACATGGCCTCAATACTTGTGACTGCTGCTTGTTCTAGAACAGATGTATTGGTCACATAATCTGGCCAGTGGATGTTTAGGATTGTGTGGAGACAGTGTTGATGGAAGCGTTCGAGGAGTCGCAGGTGGTGGCGGTAGATGACCCCTGATTCAGACCCATATAAGAGAGTAGACAGCACTATGGCTCTGTAAACACTGATCTCTGTACTTTTCTTCAAGTGTTTATTTCGCCAAACTCTTCTATGAAGCTTTCTGAAGGCACTGTATGCCTTTGCTAACCTGTTGTCTATCTCTCCGTCAATCTTACCATCTGAGGAGATGAGGCTACCTGGGTAATTAAACTGCTGGACTGATTTGAGCACTGATTCGCCAATGGTGATATGGGGATGATGGAAGACTTCCTGAGGTGCCAGTTGATGGAGAACTTCTGTTTTCTTTAAGCTGACTTCCAGCCCAAAGAGCTCAGCAGCCTCAGCAAAGCAGGATGTTAAACGCTGCAGAGCTGCTTCTGTGTGAGCGACAAGGGCGTTGTCGTCAGCATAAAGCAGCTCCTGGACATGATGGTTTAAGGTCTTGGTGTGGGCCTTCAGTCGCCTTAGGTTGAAAAGGCTTCCATCAGTACGGTACCGAATGTAGATACCGTCCTGATCATCGAGGTCTGCCGTGGCCCTTTGGAGCATCCTGCTGAAAAAGACTGTGAATAGAGTTGGTGCAAGAACGCAGCCTTGTTTCACACCATTGGTTATTAGAAAGGGCTCAGAAAGTGCATCGCCGTATCTGACTTGGCCGTGCTGATCCTCATGGAGTGAGATGATCATTTTGAGGAACTTGGGGGGACAACCTAAACGTTCCAATATCTGCCATAGACCTTTCCTGCTCACAGTATCGAAAGCCTTGGTGAGGTCAACAAAGGTTACACAAAGACCTTTGTTCTGTTCCCTACACTTCTCTTGCAGTTGTCTGAGAACAAATACCATGTCTGTGGTACTTGTGTTGGCTCTGAAACCACACTGGCTTTCAGGTAGAATTCCTTCTGCTATAGCGGGTATTAGTCTGTTTAAGAGTATTCTCGCCAGGAATTTGCCAGCAATGGAGAGCAGAGTAATACCACGGAAATTTGAACAGTCTGATTTAACTCCTTTCTTCTTATACAAAGTGATGATGACTGCATCTCGAAGGTCTGATGGTAGTTGGCCTAGTTCCCAACAGCGTGGGGAACTCGTGAAATTTAGCATGGAGTGCAAGGCCCCCATGTTTCCAGACTTCAAGTGGAATTCCATCAACCCCAGCTGCCTTGCCAGTTTTGACCTGCTGTATGGCCTTAAGGGTCTCTCCTAAAGTGGGGGCAGTATCCAGTTCATACTTCACTGATTGTTGTGTGATGGACTGAATGACTGTGTCTTGGACTACACGGTTGGTACTGAAAAGAGTCTGAAAGTGTTCAGACCATCGATTCAGAATGGAGGTTTTATCTGTAAGAAGTGTTTGACCATCAGCACTGAGTAGAGGACTTTGAGCTTGGTATGCAGGCCCATGTGCTGTTTTCAGGGCTTCATAGAACCCTCTGTGATCACCCGTGTCTGCGCATAATTGTGTTTTTTCAGCTAGACTGATCCACCACTTGTTCTGGATGTCACGGAGTTTATGTTGGAGTTTGCTGCATGTGATGCGAAAAGCTGTTTTTCTTATGTGACAGGATGGCAGTGCAAGGTGGGCTTGGTGAGTAGTTCTCTTCTTCCTCAACAATTCCTGGATCTCTTGATTGTTTTCATTGAACCGGTCCTTGTTCTTCTTGAGGGAGAACCCTAAGGATTCTTCAGAGGATTGCAGGATGCTGTTTTTAATATGGTGCCACAGTGTTACAGGAGAGGTATCTGCAGAATCTGTGGAATGGTCATCAAGTCTAGTTTGAAGATTAGCCTGGAATTTGTTTCTCACTGTGGCTGATTGGAGATCGTTAACTTGGAGTCTCCTCCTTGGGATGTTGCCCCTTTTAGGTCTGAATTTAAGAATGAGGTTAAGTTTACAGCGCACCAGTCGATGGTCTGTTTGGCATTCTGCGCTGGGCATCACACGGGTGTGGACATCGCAGACATCTCTCCGTCGCACCAAGACATAATCGATGAGGTGCCAATGTTTGGATCTGGGATGCATCCATGTTGTCTTCAGACTATTTTTCTGCTGAAAGATAGTGTTAGTGATGGTGAGCTGTTGCTCTGCACGGAATTCTAGCAGAAGTCGACCATTATCGTTGCAGTTTCCAACACCATGCTTGCCTAATATTCCTTTCCAGGCTTCAAAATTCTTTCCTACTCTGGCGTTGAAATCACCAAGGATAATGATCTTATCATCTGCAGGAATCTTCTGGGTAAGGCGGCACAGGTCGGTGTAAAATTTATCTTTTTCAGCAGGGTCAGCCTGGAGAGTTGGGGCATATATACTAAAGAGGACAATGTGCTGCTTGTTGCATAGTGGAAGGCGTAGGGAGATAATTTGGTCAGAATGACCCGTCGGCAGATTTTCGAGTTTAGGAACAATAGAGTTTTTGATCATGAAGCTGACTCCTGAGATGTGCTTTTAGGTTCTGGGCTTACCTGACCAAAAGAGTGTGTAACTGGCACCATGTTCTCTGAGGTTGCCTTCCTCGTGAAGGTGAACTTCACTGAGAGCAGCAATGTTGATGTTGAGACGTGACAGTTCATGGGCAATCAGGGCAGACCAGTGCTCAGGATGTCCACTATCTGCATAATCGAGCATGGTTCTGATATTCCAACATGCTAGAGTTAATTCAGGTACACCTTTGGAGGCAGGTACATGCCTTTGTCTTTTGATCTTTGTGTGACTGCATTTGTAGATGTCGATACAACGCTTTGCAAAAGTGGGTAAAGCCTTCAAGCCTGCACAGTGGATTTTTTAGGTGAGACACAGTACACGCTGAACTGAACCCACCCTTTAATCCTAAGGTTCATCTGCCAGGGTCGAGAGAGCTTGGACGGTGACAGCGAGGTCCTCAGGACATAGGTTTAATTAGAATATCCTTCTCTTGGATGGATGGCCTTACAGGGCTGAACGAGCTCCATCTGCCCAGGTTTGGAGTTGTCCTTCTCTTTTGTGTGTTCCGGGCTCCCCCTCTTGTCTCCCACGATGGCACAGTCTGCACCGGCGAAGCTCCCCCTCTCTTGCTCCTTTCTGCGCCCGAGGCCGGGCCACGTCAAGCACACGTGCCTGGGGCTGAGCCAGGCATGCCGCGCCGGTGCGATGTGTTAAACCATATATAATTTGAATAAAGAGGAATTGGCTGAGAACCCCAAACTAGCCAGGCCTATGTGGTTTGTATTATATTAATAATAATAATATGCCACAGGTTCTGTTGGAAGAACCTGCCCCTGTGAAAGGGGTAAGTAAGTAATGGCCAGTCTTCGCGAGCGAAGATTTGGGAAAGGTCATTAACCCTTCGAGCCTGCGCAGTGGATTTTTTAGGTGAGACACAGCGTGCNCAGTATAGGAGTTCATTCTGAAGCATTTTATATGTGTTTTCTTTGTTCCTTTATCTCATCCACTTGTCTCAGAAACGATCCTTACCAAAAAGAACACTTCAGCTAATAATCTTATGACTTGGGTTTTTTACCATCAAAGCCAGAAAAATTTAGGATAACTGAGCTTTTCCATATAAAGCTTTGTTTTTGTTAAAGAACGTGGTTTAATTTAATAATACTTGCAAGTTCTTCAAGTAAACAACTTGAACTTTGATTTCAAAAACACTGACCACTGTTCTCACTGTGGATAGTTAAAAGGGACAGAAGGAACGAGCTGCTCAATACTCAACACTTAGACTGAAAAAAATAATTTTAAAAGAGCTTTGCTGTGTCAGATGCCCTTGCCAGAGTGTTACATTTATTTCTGAAAATCTCTTTTCGTAAGGGGGAATAATGACTCCACCCTCATGACTGCTGGCTTTGTGGCGTATTTGTCCTACCTTCCGAGTAAAATGCTGGCATCCTCGTCTTCAGCATGCACTGGGGAGGGAGTTGCCCTCCCAGACCACCAAGGGAGAAGCTTCTATCCCCTGGTCAGGACTGTGGGAGCTGTAAAGTCACAGTCAGGCTTGGTTTCTTCCCACAGTTGTGGAACACCTTTCATGAGAAGTCCTTGGTTAAAGTAGCATTCCAGAAGAGCCTTGCTACCCTGCAACTGGACTACCTTGACCTCTACCTGATACATTTCCCTATGGGATTCAAGGTAGTCCTACCCTACATCCCTTTTCTCCTTACCTGCCTAGAAACGTGGTGCATTCTTCATTTTGCAGCTGGGATATGCCATGGTTTGTTTGGCTCTGCCCTAAATCTGGCGGTAGCAAAGATTTGGTGACTAAGTAGTGCTATGTTATAGCACATGGCTTTTCATACTTGTTGGAACAAGAGAGTCATAGGTATGAGAACTGCCAATGTGCCTGCTGGGTCTTCAGGGAAGCTGTAATGAACGTGGGATGGTGCAGTTTGGGACTGTGACCCTCTGCCGGGCTTGGAACAGCACAAACCTCTCAAGTTTTGGAGATGTTGGCTTGGTCTGGAGTAATCAACTGTGAAAAATGAAGCATAGCACAGAAAGAATGTGCTTCTTTCCCCCCCCCCAATCTGTGTAAAATAAATCAAAAAAGTAGGAGAGACGTAGTAGGGGGGTGTCTGTTCCTTTTTTCTAGATCTGCCTAAGCTGCCTAATTGCTACTAATCCCCACACTCCTTTCATGCAAGGGCTGATTTGGAAAAATATTGCCCTCATCCCAAAGAGACTACTAATGAATGTGCATTATTTTAGTTATGCTATATGTTGAAATAACCTGCTAACTTGCTGCCTGTAGATGCAGTCCAAAGTGCTAGTTCCCAGTAGGAAATTCAACTCTAACAAAGTCTATGTATTTTCTGCCTTGAAATAACGGGCTGGTGAAGAGCTGCATCCTAAGGATGAGAAGGGTATGAGTATCCCCAGTGATACAGATTTTCTTGACACATGGGAGGTAAGTTAATATTTGCTTTTGAGAGCAGGTATCA